GGTTAGAAGAGAACATTTACTTGGACTGACATATCTAAGATTGTAATTTAGCAAAAAAAATTTGTCTTCAGGTAACAGCTGTGACCTTTAACGACACATCAGAACAAGTTATCTCCGGTGGTGTTGACAATGATATGAAGGTAATTAATTTTTTCATTTCCAACTTCCTGCATATTATATAACGTAATGTAAACAGTTGCTGCAGTCACATAAATTAGGAGAGTAATACTGTAGTTATTCACACAACTGCATAGGATATGAAAAGTCATAAGGCTAAAATTTATCTTCTTAAAATTTGAAGAAGTGTGGAGTAAACAACCCTCCTGTTTAACTTGAAGTTAATTTTTGTTTAAATGCAACTAATACATTTGTTCACAGGTCTGGGACTTGAGAAAGAATGGTTTACTTTACCGGATGCGTGGCCATAACGATACAGTGACTGGGCTCAGCCTCTCTCCAGATGGCTCTTATGTGCTCTCAAATGCTATGGACAACACTGTCAGAATATGGGATGTGCGGCCATTTGCTCCACAAGAACGCTGTGTAAAGATTTTCCAAGGACACCAGCACAACTTTGAAAATGTAAGTTGTGTGTAGGGATGCACCAGAAAAAAAAAATTCTCCTCTGGATACTGGATAGTTGCAAGAATCTGGTCTGAATTATGCATAATTAAAAGCATAACAAAATTGTAAAGAACCATGAAAAAGTCAACTCACCACTCCTTGGGATTCACTAATACTACAGTTGTATAAACCAGCAATTATAGCAATCCCATGTAGCTACCTAACTCATTTTTTTTTTTTGGTGTTTACAATTATCCTCGCAAAACAAATGCACACACAAAGCAAAATACTAGTCATTTTCAGGCCCTCATAACATACTGTTCGATAAAAGCTAACATAGCATCCTAGTTACCCTGGTTCTTACATCCCCCAAGTAATATCTCTTGTTCCATATAAATTCTGATGATATACTGTACATTACAATATTACTGCAGTCATATGACTTTGTTTTTTATATAAAATATTCATGACTCTTACTAACACCAAAATAATTCTGTAGGATTTTATATTTGCTGTATTTTCATAATGTTTCCAGATATTATTACGTTGTTCTTGGTCTCCTGATGGGCGTCGTATATCGGCTGGATCATCTGACCGTCATGCTTACATTTGGGACACTACTACAAGACATATCCTTTACAAGCTACCAGGACATAATGGTTCTGTAAATACTGTTGAGTTTCATCCAAAAGAACCAATAAGTAAGTTGAATTTTGTTTCTTGTCTGTTTCCTGTTTACCTACTAGGAAGTGTTCCTTTACCAAAGACAAAAATACTGTAGCAAGGTTTCGGGGGATTTTCATAGAGGATTGGCAGCCAAACAGCTTGATTCTTTTTGTAAACATTTTGAAGTCTTTAGGTTACATACACGCACACATCTCGGCGTCAGCTGGTTGAACTGTGTTATATCGCCCAGAGGATGGTTTGAGTGTGGAAAGAGCTTTTTTTTTTTTGACACAAGAAGTGTGCTATTGTATTATATGATATGCTGTATAAATTTTTGTTTATCATAGCATGAAATTAGAACCAACACCTCCCATCAACCAAAAAGCCCGGCACATTTGTAAACAAAGTGTGTACAGTGCCACTGGTGGCAGACAAACAAATCAATAACTTAAGTTGCCTTTGGATTGTTGGACTAAATTAGAATTTTTACCCAACCCAACCAAAGGGGACAAAGTTCAGATAGTTGGATTTCAGATAAAATAAATTGCACTGGAGATCCTTTTGTATTACAGTACAGTACCTACTGTGTGTTAATGTCCATTCCTTTTTTCTTTTTTTCATAAAACTATAAAAAAAAAATTATTACCATTATTGTAAAATACTGTTCAGTATTGTAGGAGCAGTATACCAGTAAGTACTGTACCACACACCCTTCACTTTTTCCAAAAATTTATAACATCACTTTACTTCCCATGGTGATCAGTACAGTACAGTACTGTGATTCTGAACGATTAATATACAACTATGCTAAAATACAGATTTTATTTTAATAATGGATTTCCTAATTTCAGTTATGTCTGTATCAAATGATAAACAAATCTTCCTGGGAGAAATTGAATAAGCACCGTCTTATGATAGCTGAGAAAGTGTCAAGACTGCCGCTCACCAAATAATAATAAGAGAAGAAATTAATTGAAGGAATGCATGTCATATCCATCTATCAAAGTTTGGAGGCTGGAGATAGCATGTTAATTTGTGAGGAGTGTATAGAGAGAATTCAAGTTTTTCCATAAGAAAATTATGTATATACATTATATGGACTTTCAGCTTGGTGTCTGAGTTTTCATAACTGTAAACAGTATAGTTACTGTATCTACAAAATTTTTTGTTTTGACGGACGATGAAATTTTTGAATGAAATCTGTGTATGATATATTGTAGTACAGTACTACCTGTATACTGTAATATTAAAATTGTTTGAATATGTATTGTGTTTGCACTTTTTGTTTCATATTGCAAGTTACTTGAAAAGTTGAACAAGTATTGACATTGAGAGAAATAAGGAATAAATTTTTAACCATAAAACTTTCACCACATTATAATTTAAGAATGTCACTTGTCATGATGACAATGAATACATGTTTAAGCTCCAGTATTATATTGTGCTGTATACAAGTCACTTTAGATAAAATATGAGAGAAGATGCCATGGGTCCCTGAATACTTTACATCAATCAAGTAACTTGGGAGGTCTCCATGATATTAATGAAGTCAGTAAATGAAAGTGTGCATATTTTTCAATCAATCATTAGCTCTTGATTACACAAATTTAAATGTCATATTGCAATTGAAATGAAAGTTCATTCATATTTTTTGTGCTAAAATTCATTATGTATGATAGAGGAATTTGTTCATTAGTTTATTAAATTTTATAAAATACTACTATCTTAATTTGTGTTTTATATCACTTATACTGTAGTTATAATTTAGATAAATCATCTACAACTTAGTTAAGATCTTTGTGGAGGACACTGTAAGGTCCAGTGCTTGGGTCCTTACAAACTAGGAAGCAAATCCCAAACTTTCCTGAGCCAAACATCAAATTACTCTGATTTTGTTGTGTACTGTACTTCATTATTTGTCTAAGTGTGTGTATGTGTCTGGTTTACTCCACCTTTTCATGTTCATTTACCAAAGAAAAGAAAGAGCAAATGAAATTGGGGTGTTTTAATATAGATGGATGTAATCAGGGTAATAAGGAGAGACTAATAAAAATATGATAAGTGAAATGGCTCTGGACGTTCTGAAGGGCAAAGGAGAGGTATGCTGTGGACAAGTGGCGGTGTAAAGGTGGGAGAATCTGAGAGAGTAGGAGTTAAATAATGAGCGTTGTTCAATAAAAAAATGTGTTTTGTGGTAGAAAATAAATATGATAATCTCAGAATATGTATATCAGATTAAAAGAAAGGTGGGTTATAATAAAGTAATTATAAATGCACCAGGAAATGACAAAAGGGAAGGTGAAAGAGTGTGTGGTTCCTGTCTTGAGTGGCATTATCTTACATGGGTTGGTATACCTGTAGTTTTTCACAATGGTCTTAGAATATTTAGTTTGTTGTCAATATACAGACTTAAATCCTTTTCACATCTCACTTGAGTTAATGTTTCGTGGTCAGGTTGGGTCATGTGATACTTCTCCTTATTGATGCACTATCATGAGCTTAGCCCGACAAGATACACTATAATATTTACGGTTTATTCAGTTTGTAAGTCTGTCTCTTAAAATATTATATTATTCAATTCACTTTTATCACTCGAGGTCATTTTCTTTATATTTTAAAGTGAGTCATTTGACATTTCATCTTTAACTACCGGTAGGCTTGTAGTGGACGTCTTCCCTACAACTGCCTACAACTGCCTAGCCGCAGCCACCAGCTGCTACCGTCTTCCCTAGCAACCAAACTAGCGGCCCAGAGGGGGGCGTCACCAGATGCCGCAGTATCTTAGCAACGGAACCAAAGACCGGCGACTTTCTCGGGTTTTCCCAACATGACTCATAGATGACTCACGGCTGCTGGGTATATAAGCTCTGTCTCTCCATTGAGATTCATTCTGGCCTCTCTTCCTGAACAAGCAACACCTCCTCCGCCGCTGCCTGGCGGTCCTCGCTCCCGCCGGCGAGCATGGCGACCCACCAGCTGTCCTTCTCTGAGCGTCCTCACCAACCAGCTCTCTCATTCTGCTCTCGGTTCCTGAACACGCAACACCTCCTCCAGCAAGCTCCTCGCTGTCCAGCTTTCATTCAACCAGGAGGCCAGCAACAGGCAACATCTTCTCTAACGAAGCTCCTGCACATCAACCTCCTTCAACACGCTACTCACCGAACGTCTCTACTGAGCAGCTCCTCACCACATGGCACCTCCAGCACCAGACTGTCTATCATATAACTTATATTATACAAGAAAACCACCTTAGAGTTTCCATCCATCCTGAGTGCTAGACAACATTATACCACGAACTCCTACAAATGGTGACTCCCGGAGATTAGCACTCACACAGGATGGAGGAGACACTGATCACGCTCCCAGTCTTCAAGCAGCATAGAAGAATGGCTTATCCACACAGAAGCAGCTCTGTTACTCTAAGCAGACACCAGCTCCTCTTCCTGCCCCAAGCACCACATCCTGACGACCCCAGCACACCCGTCCTGCCTCAGACGCTGACCCCGGCCCAGCAGTAACCCCTGCCGCCCCTGACGCGGCCTCTGTTCCTGAGTGCGGACCCACACACCCCTCTTTTCTCCCTCAGGTACTCCCTGCTAATGTCCTGCACCCTGCTGCTGTCGTGGACCCAGCTGCTGTCACGAGCCCTTATCCGCTTCTGCTGACACAGCCCCTGCTCCTGACCCAGGCCCACACACACCCAGCAGGCGCATCTGACGACTCAGTACCTGCCGTGAGGGAAGCACAACATTCATCGCCTCCACACACCCCTCTTTTCTCCCTCAGGTACTCCCTGCTAATGTCCTGCACCCTGCTGCTGTCGTGGACCCAGCTGCTGTCACGAGCCCTCATCCGCTTCTGCTGACGCGGCCCCTGCTCCTGACCCAGGCCCACACACCCCAGCAGGCGCATCTGACGACTCTGTACCTGCCGTGAGGGAAGCACAACATTCATCGCCTCCACACACCCTTTTCTCCCTCTCTTCTCCCACAGATAGTGTGTATCTAGACAGTTGTATCCAGCGACAGGCTCATCCACGCCATCGCCGTTGTCTCACATGAGGCATGCACCGCCCGTTCTGCCTCACATGTGCTAAGCAACTCTGCAGGCAACAAGTCTCCTACACCGCTTGGAGGGAACGGGGAGTAATGTAGTGGATTTCTTCCCTACAAACGCTGTTCGTCGCCGAGTAGCCGACCCCACCAATTCCCCAGTGTATGCCTCGTGGTCCAGGTCAACCAGCGCCGCCATACATCACGAAGCGGGGGTCAACTACTAAGCCACGCCTACCCCCGCTATTTAAGACCTGACCTCGTGGTGACCTGGCTCTTTCTACCTACACCAACCAGCCAGCAGCACACCTCCTCCTCCGCCGCTGCCTGGCGGCCCTCGCTCCTCCTCCGCGTGCCTGGCGGTCCTCTCTCCCGCCGGCGAGCATGGCGACCCACAAGCTGTCCTTCTCTGAGTGTCCTCACCAACCAGCTCTCTCTACATCACGCTTGTAACTATGCTGACTTCCCAGCACCAAGCTGCATTTTACATCCAATACAACATGTATATAGAGAGCACATCGTGAGTTTCCTTTCTCCATCCCATCCTGAGTGTGAACCAAACAATCTTGAACCCCACTTTGTAATGGTCATGATAAGAGCTAACCGGAAAACCTTAAGGATTCATATTACGCTCAAACGTCCACAAAACCTTCTGAGTCCCCCAGTGGAAACGTCCCCCGTTTTCTCTGTTTCCCCCATCCTTGTCTATGGGAGCTTGGAATATAATCCGCGGATTTAGTAGCAGACGCTGTATGCTGGGACCTGTTGCCATCCAACCCTTTGTAATCAATTTAATTTTGCTTTTGATAGCTGAGTCAGAGCATTGTTAGTGAAGATAATAGTAGAGAATGAAAATGAGTTCATAGTCTCAATTTCAACGTCAGAGTGTACCGTAAATTAATTCATCGAAATAGGAGTAGGTGGACTCCCTGGCCTAGTTTGAGTGAGGGCGCCGCGGGCATTTCTACCGTTAGTGAGTGCCCGTCCCTTCATCCATACAGGTATGCCATTCCACGCTGTGTTGTAATTTGCCCTACTTTAAGTGATTTGACCCAATTAATAGTTGATTGTGCAAGTGTTACAGTAACGTAGTTGATATGCTCTGAGTGAAGTCATATTTACGTCTTTAACGTCCCCTGAAACGTGATGTTGTTGTCACCGTTAGTGAGTGCCCGTCCCTTCATCCATACAGGTCCCTAACGCAGCCTAGGCCGTGTCTGTAGCGTGAATGTTGTATCCACTATGTCTGGGGAGATGTCCGAGGTCCAGTAGGATCAGTTACCTTCGTGAGACCCGGCCGTCAGACACTTCAGACCACCTATAGCCCCCATAGCTGGCTCGTCTGGCCCTAACGCTCGGTCCACGAGGTGACCCTGGACCACCAAGCCACACACCACTACCAGCCCCCATCATTGGTGGATGAATGGTCTACCTCAGTAGGGCTATATTTGTGTGGTGGAATTAACCCACTGGGATCTCCAGAGTTCGTCGGATAGTACTCCATGGTGGCTGGACCCCATGGCTGTTGCTTGAGTATCACTCCTGACGACTGAGTGTTGTAGTGGCAGTTGCCTAGTATTTATGGTGCTAAGTGACTATCATAGTTGTGTTATTGAGTATGTCCACCCCGTAGGGTTGGAAGGGTATTGAATATGTCCACCCAGTAATGGTGTGAGTATGTTGTGCCTGAGGGCCTAGTACGAGATTTCGTCTGTTAGTACAAACCAATTCTTTCTTCTAATTTCATATTCATGTTTAAATAAACTTTGTATTTGTATAATTGTGTATATTATTTACCTACAGTATTTACCGTTATTTCTTCCCTATTGCTTGATACTATCATTACACCTACCCACGAGCCTCCTATCGTCACGCTACCAATGGTGATATATAAGAGTAAAAGGAATTGTTACTGGCACACAGGCCCTCATGAAGGGTGGCAGGAGCAGCCCTCATAAATGGTGGCAGTAGCAGCCCTCATAAATGGTGGCAGCTCAAGCCCTCATAAATGGTGGCAGCTATGGTGATGTAATGAACATAGTATCGAGTTGGGAGGAATGACTGTGATACTGTAGTTTAACTGAGTTATAACCATTTCTCTGTACGGGTATTTAATAACCATTCCACTGTAACTAATGAGTATTTCAGATTGCTAATAATTTTGTTCCATATTTTTCCGAGGTACAGCTTTTTGTGGTGGTTTGCAGAGAGAGTGAAATAAGTTCAAAGAAATACCTTGGAGTTAGGTTAGAAAAGTCTTGTTTAAAGTAAAAGGAAACCTGCAACAATAATTTGTAGAGTGTGAATAAGGTTCATTAATATTGGAAGAATTTTGATATGTAACAATCTGCCCAAATTTTTTTTCTGTTGTTAACTCAGTATTACTTACAGACAGTGAATACATGTTTGGGCCGTGGCACTAGTTGTGAAATGTTCCATCGTGGGAGTGCCCAGTGTTTTAATTCTGAGTGCTAACAGAAGCATTGCACTATATACAAAGGTTAAGTGGATGCTAATTCTGTACTTGTCATATTCTTTAGTTATGTGTTAGGTAGGATATATATTCCATTTACTTAATATCTCGGGGCATTTTACAGTTCCTACTACAGTACTCTCTTTATCGACGGGGGTTACGTTTGTAAACGGCCGTCGATAAAGAAACCGTCGATACCGTGAT